CTAAGGGAAAGATATCATCATCATCATCATCATCATCATCATCATCATCATCATCATCATCATCATCATCATCATCATCATCATCATCATCATCATCATCATCATCATCATCATCATCATCATCATCATCATCATCATCATCATCATCATCATCATCATCATCATCATCATCATCATCATCATCATCATCATCATCATCATCATCATCATCATCATCATCATCATCATCATCATCATCATCATCATCATCATCATCATCATCATCATCATCATCATCATCATCATCATCATCATCATCATCATCATCATCATCATCATCATCATCATCATCATCATCATCATCATCATCATCATCATCATCATCATCATCATCATCATCATCATCATCATCATCATCATCATCATCATCATCATCATCATCATATCATCATCATCATCATCATCATCATCATCATCATCATCATCATCATCATCATCATCATCATCATCATCATCATCATCATCATCATCATCATCATCATCATCATCATCATCATCATCATCATCATCATCATCATCATCATCATCATCATCATCATCATCATCATCATCATCATCATCATCATCATCATCATCATCATCATCATCATCATCATCATCATCATCATCATCATCATCATCATCATCATCATCATCATCATCATCATCATCATCATCATCATCATCATCATCATCATCATCATCATCATCATCATCATCATCATCATCATCATCATCATCATCATCATCATCATCATCATCATCATCATCATCATCATCATCATCATCATCATCATCATCATCATCATCATCATCATCATCATCATCATCATCATCATCATCATCATCATCATCATCATCATCATCATCATCATCATCATCATCATCATCATCATCATCATCATCATCATCATCATCATCATCATCATCATCATCATCATCATCATCATCATCATCATCATCATCATCATCATCATCATCATCATCATCATCATCATCATCATCATCATCATCATCATCATCATCATCATCATCATCATCATCATCATCATCATCATCATCATCATCATCATCATCATCATCATCATCATCATCATCATCATCATCATCATCATCATCATCATCATCATCATCATCATCATCATCATCATCATCATCATCATCATCATCATCATCATCATCATCATCATCATCATCATCATCATCATCATCATCATCATCATCATCATCATCATCATCATCATCATCATCATCATCATCATCATCATCATCATCATCATCATCATCATCATCATCATCATCATCATCATCATCATCATCATCATCATCATCATCATCATCATCATCATCATCATCATCATCATCATCATCATCATCATCATCATCATCATCATCATCATCATCATCATCATCATCATCATCATCATCATCATCATCATCATCATCATCATCATCATCATCATCATCATCATCATCATCATCATCATCATCATCATCATCATCATCATCATCATCATCATCATCATCATCATCATCATCATCATCATCATCATCATCATCATCATCATCATCATCATCATCATCATCATCATCATCATCATCATCATCATCATCATCATCATCATCATCATCATCATCATCATCATCATCATCATCATCATCATCATCATCATCATCATCATCATCATCATCATCATCATCATCATCATCATCATCATCATCATCATCATCATCATCATCATCATCATCATCATCATCATCATCATCATCATCATCATCATCATCATCATCATCATCATCATCATCATCATCATCATCATCATCATCATCATCATCATCATCATCATCATCATCATCATCATCATCATCATCATCATCATCATCATCATCATCATCATCATCATCATCATCATCATCATCATCATCATCATCATCATCATCATCATCATCATCATCATCATCATCATCATCATCATCATCATCATCATCATCATCATCATCATCATCATCATCATCATCATCATCATCATCATCATCATCATCATCATCATCATCATCATCATCATCATCATCATCATCATCATCATCATCATCATCATCATCATCATCATCATCATCATCATCATCATCATCATCATCATCATCATCATCATCATCATCATCATCATCATCATCATCATCATCATCATCATCATCATCATCATCATCATCATCATCATCATCATCATCATCATCATCATCATCATCATCATCATCATCATCATCATCATCATCATCATCATCATCATCATCATCATCATCATCATCATCATCATCATCATCATCATCATCATCATCATCATCATCATCATCATCATCATCATCATCATCATCATCATCATCATCATCATCATCATCATCATCATCATCATCATCATCATCATCATCATCATCATCATCATCATCATCATCATCATCATCATCATCATCATCATCATCATCATCATCATCATCATCATCATCATCATCATCATCATCATCATCATCATCATCATCATCATCATCATCATCATCATCATCATCATCATCATCATCATCATCATCATCATCATCATCATCATCATCATCATCATCATCATCATCATCATCATCATCATCATCATCATCATCATCATCATCATCATCATCATCATCATCATCATCATCATCATCATCATCATCATCATCATCATCATCATCATCATCATCATCATCATCATCATCATCATCATCATCATCATCATCATCATCATCATCATCATCATCATCATCATCATCATCATCATCATCATCATCATCATCATCATCATCATCATCATCATCATCATCATCATCATCATCATCATCATCATCATCATCATCATCATCATCATCATCATCATCATCATCATCATCATCATCATCATCATCATCATCATCATCATCATCATCATCATCATCATCATCATCATCATCATCATCATCATCATCATCATCATCATCATCATCATCATCATCATCATCATCATCATCATCATCATCATCATCATCATCATCATCATCATCATCATCATCATCATCATCATCATCATCATCATCATCATCATCATCATCATCATCATCATCATCATCATCATCATCATCATCATCATCATCATCATCATCATCATCATCATCATCATCATCATCATCATCATCATCATCATCATCATCATCATCATCATCATCATCATCATCATCATCATCATCATCATCATCATCATCATCATCATCATCATCATCATCATCATCATCATCATCATCATCATCATCATCATCATCATCATCATCATCATCATCATCATCATCATCATCATCATCATCATCATCATCATCATCATCATCATCATCATCATCATCATCATCATCATCATCATCATCATCATCATCATCATCATCATCATCATCATCATCATCATCATCATCATCATCATCATCATCATCATCATCATCATCATCATCATCATCATCATCATCATCATCATCATCATCATCATCATCATCATCATCATCATCATCATCATCATCATCATCATCATCATCATCATCATCATCATCATCATCATCATCATCATCATCATCATCATCATCATCATCATCATCATCATCATCATCATCATCATCATCATCATCATCATCATCATCATCATCATCATCATCATCATCATCATCATCATCATCATCATCATCATCATCATCATCATCATCATCATCATCATCATCATCATCATCATCATCATCATCATCATCATCATCATCATCATCATCATCATCATCATCATCATCATCATCATCATCATCATCATCATCATCATCATCATCATCATCATCATCATCATCATCATCATCATCATCATCATCATCATCATCATCATCATCATCATCATCATCATCATCATCATCATCATCATCATCATCATCATCATCATCATCATCATCATCATCATCATCATCATCATCATCATCATCATCATCATCATCATCATCATCATCATCATCATCATCATCATCATCATCATCATCATCATCATCATCATCATCATCATCATCATCATCATCATCATCATCATCATCATCATCATCATCATCATCATCATCATCATCATCATCATCATCATCATCATCATCATCATCATCATCATCATCATCATCATCATCATCATCATCATCATCATCATCATCATCATCATCATCATCATCATCATCATCATCATCATCATCATCATCATCATCATCATCATCATCATCATCATCATCATCATCATCATCATCATCATCATCATCATCATCATCATCATCATCATCATCATCATCATCATCATCATCATCATCATCATCATCATCATCATCATCATCATCATCATCATCATCATCATCATCATCATCATCATCATCATCATCATCATCATCATCATCATCATCATCATCATCATCATCATCATCATCATCATCATCATCATCATCATCATCATCATCATCATCATCATCATCATCATCATCATCATCATCATCATCATCATCATCATCATCATCATCATCATCATCATCATCATCATCATCATCATCATCATCATCATCATCATCATCATCATCATCATCATCATCATCATCATCATCATCATCATCATCATCATCATCATCATCATCATCATCATCATCATCATCATCATCATCATCATCATCATCATCATCATCATCATCATCATCATCATCATCATCATCATCATCATCATCATCATCATCATCATCATCATCATCATCATCATCATCATCATCATCATCATCATCATCATCATCATCATCATCATCATCATCATCATCATCATCATCATCATCATCATCATCATCATCATCATCATCATCATCATCATCATCATCATCATCATCATCATCATCATCATCATCATCATCATCATCATCATCATCATCATCATCATCATCATCATCATCATCATCATCATCATCATCATCATCATCATCATCATCATCATCATCATCATCTCATCATCATCATCATCATCATCATCATCATCATCATCATCATCATCATCATCATCATCATCATCATCATCATCATCATCATCATCATCATCATCATCATCATCATCATCATCATCATCATCATCATCATCATCATCATCATCATCATCATCATCATCATCATCATCATCATCATCATCATCATCATCATCATCATCATCATCATCATCATCATCATCATCATCATCATCATCATCATCATCATCATCATCATCATCATCATCATCATCATCATCATCATCATCATCATCATCATCATCATCATCATCATCATCATCATCATCATCATCATCATCATCATCATCATCATCATCATCATCATCATCATCATCATCATCATCATCATCATCATCATCATCATCATCATCATCATCATCATCATCATCATCATCATCATCATCATCATCATCATCATCATCATCATCATCATCATCATCATCATCATCATCATCATCATCATCATCATCATCATCATCATCATCATCATCATCATCATCATCATCATCATCATCATCATCATCATCATCATCATCATCATCATCATCATCATCATCATCATCATCATCATCATCATCATCATCATCATCATCATCATCATCATCATCATCATCATCATCATCATCATCATCATCATCATCATCATCATCATCATCATCATCATCATCATCATCATCATCATCATCATCATCATCATCATCATCATCATCATCATCATCATCATCATCATCATCATCATCATCATCATCATCATCATCATCATCATCATCATCATCATCATCATCATCATCATCATCATCATCATCATCATCATCATCATCATCATCATCATCATCATCATCATCATCATCATCATCATCATCATCATCATCATCATCATCATCATCATCATCATCATCATCATCATCATCATCATCATCATCATCATCATCATCATCATCATCATCATCATCATCATCATCATCATCATCATCATCATCATCATCATCATCATCATCATCATCATCATCATCATCATCATCATCATCATCATCATCATCATCATCATCATCATCATCATCATCATCATCATCATCATCATCATCATCATCATCATCATCATCATCATCATCATCACCATCATCATCATCATCATCATCATCATCATCATCATCATCATCATCATCATCATCATCATCATCATCATCATCATCATCATCATCATCATCATCATCATCATCATCATCATCATGATCATCATCATCATCATCATCATCATCATCATCATCATCATCATCATCATCATCATCATCATCATCATCATCATCATCATCATCATCGTTTACAGGTTTAGAACATACAGAATCAAACATCAAACAATCTATTATGGAGAAGCAATTCTATGCTTCTCAGAAGTGAAAAGATATAGAATATTGCAGCTTGATATCTATCATTAGTAAAAGTAAAGCATATTTCGTAGGTCCAATACAGTCCACGTTGAGTGTAACTCTCAAACAACTGACTATCCAACTGTGTACTTCACTGAAGTTGAATACTTTACTCATCAAAATAGCTGGAATCTCGAACACAAATAATGTTTCACAACAGCATAACATACAAACTGACTGATTTCAGAATAGTGTGTGTCATGTGGCTGTCAATCAACTGGACTTGATCATGTAAAATTGTGTGAATATGCACTGGAATGAAGTCAACTGATAATTTTGCAAGACACATGTGTTATAAAGTTAACATCAGACATCATGTTATCATGTGATTAGACGAATGAAAACATACTACATTCTTCAATTGCTGCACCGCCGAATTGAATGAGGTGAACACCTGAACTTGAAGAAGCCTTCCACAAAGTGAAATTGAATGAAATCAGATCAATTGGATGAGTGGAACATTTTGTCAAGTTCAATTCACTTAATGTTGATCATATTTCTTCTGCAATTCAGTAACCCTCTGACCAATTTAAAGCCTCATTCTCATTGATACTATGTGAGTGAGACTAATCATACGATTGAATTGAACATATTTGCAATTGACATGTTGTCTGTTAGGTTCATTGTATTCTGTTCATTCGAGTAGTTTGACTAGCGTTTTTTATATTACTCGGCACTACTACTTATCAGTATTGAGTAGTCTGTTTCGTTACTCATGACTTGATTGAATGCAGACATACTGATATCTGTCTTGCTATAGAATATTCTCAACCACATCCATCCACTGAACACATTCATTTGATTCATTCATTTATAATGAGTTTTCAGCCAGCTCATCACAGATGATCCAAGCAATTACTATTAGTGGTTAGAGAAGAAGGAGATTAAGCTAGCAGAACACACAGATCATTTTAACCAATATGTATTATTGAAATGGATAATACACGAATTAGTCATTGAACGGGCAGAGAGAATACCTGTTGTTCTATTGGCTTTACACAAAACAAAGTCAATCGACCAATCACTTTCTGAATTCATCGTGCACTCCAATCACATGAACAATCCATTCAGTGAATTATTCATTATCCGATAGTCATTGATGTCAACAGTCGATTCCACAAAATCATGATGTAAATATATGATTGAGGATTGAAGATAATTTATCATCATACCAGTTCATTGACGTCCTAATAAGAATAGCCCACGATATTGTTCTGTGTTGTACTTATAAGTAGTGATTGAGGCAACTGTGAAATTGTACAGTTGCATTCAGTGATGAGAATGTGCAAATCAGGCAATGATGAACACGAGAATGTAACGAAAACGGTGAAGGAATCTAATCGTGTATTGTAAAGTGAATGCGAGACCATGTTGTTGTTTCAATTTGACAGGGTGTTATTGTAAATGAACTGTAAGTGAAAAACTAACAAACAAGCCCTGAATTATAGCTTGAATAGACTAGGATGATGGGAATAAAATGCCCTATTTACAACAATAACAATAAACATGTTTATATAAGGGAAGGACGTGTGAACCACAATATGACGAAAGCAGATGTCCATTGTGCAATTTAGTTTTATGGGAAGAAGAAGTTCATGTTTGTGTGAAGGCGTTCACCAAACAACAACAACAATAATAATAATAATAATAATAACGACAATAGAAATCATAATAACAATAACAATGATAAAATGTTAAGTTGAAGATTGAGACGAAGATGGGAAGTGATTCATTTGTAAACAGAGTTTGAATTCCATCTCGATGGATATCTGAATGATCTATTGAGTGAAGCAGTTACAGTTGATAAAATTTCAAGGCATTTCTAAACTCCTCATACCACCATGTCGACATTATGACAGAGTCAATATAAGGAGCAGCAAATCTCAATCTAATCTCACTTGATTCCGGCATCAACCATGTTAATCAATTGATTTCATTTTATTTGTAGTGAGATTGTGTAACGTGCAATGTTGCCTTGACAGTTCCATTGATGTTGCATTGATGATCTCAGTTAATCAGTAGTGAACAACTGCAGATATTCTACGCGGATATCAAGCTATTTCCTTGAACTATGCTACGCGAAATCTACTCACACGCTGTTTCCATATCATACTCATGTCAGTTTTACTACTTTTGTTGATCAGGATGAGATTGTGACCGCGATGGATTTTCTCACAAACAACAGTATAGTTGATTGGAAATCGACATCTGCGTTTAATAGTCAGTGCATGTAGCATGGATAATGATTGTATTGACAACGTGAGTGTGTGTGTGTGAGACATAATTCTTTAATGTTTAGCTTTACAGAGAGAGTGTTTCAGTGGAAAGCTCAGTTGGCCCTGACACTGTGTCAAACCAATCACGCGTGAACCAGTACGAACAACCTAGAATGACCGCACAATCCTAACTGGTTCTTCACGTGCTACCCGTCTTGTCTGTCGAGTCCAGAACACAATCTCAGCTTCCACTATATGGATCAAGTATATCGGACATATGCAGTATGTTTGCAGGCAAATCAGACCTCAGCATACCACAAAGTAGAGAATGACAGTTAAACAACATCGTGCCAAATGTGGCTGTGAATGTGAGAGAGTGTAACTAATAGATTGGGAATAACTTAGGAATACTAAATCGTATATTATTAGTTATGCCATAAGAATATATATGCACCAACAGTCGATCTATAAATTCCAGTAGTTAACATCCATTTATTCTTCGTGAGGATGTAACGAACCCGGATTGATGTTTCATAACACAATACTTCATTGATATTGTTGCGACTAGAAAACAATGACTCTTGTAGGTTTCATTTGTATTTATCCGTTAAAATATTTCTTGCCTTCAAAAATCCCAGAATGGAACTTCTATACACTACAACTGATCACTTTACCCAGAGAAAGCATTCCGAATTCTCGATGGGAAAACCCTATCATTAAGTACGCTCATCTCTGATACATTGTAGTCAACAGGTGTGAATCTAACCTGGTTGTATTTTCATGAGCGTTTAGTTGGTAAATGATTATTGTGGAGAATGCAACACTAAATCACGCACAAACATCAGTTATGAGCACATCAATATGGAATCGGAACTAGACTTAATTGACGAAGTAAATGACACAGTATCCTCAATTGTTTTGACATCAACATGGAATTGACGGAAACATGGGCATGTAAACTGGAAGAAACTCACCATGGGAGCCATAATGACTATTCATAATGAAATAAATGACCAATACAGTTTGCATTCATCCAACTGGTCAGATATTATTTATTTCCAATGAGCAGCTACTCAATTGGTCAATTTGTGAATATGGGAAATTCCACCAATCAATTGATTCATCTCCACTATATAAACAGCAGCAACAGCAGCAGTAGTAGTAGTTGTTGTTATTGTCGAACAATACACCATTTCTTATACATTTCGGGTTACATCAAATGATTCAATATTCATTCGTGATCACTGTATACATTTCAATTCATCTTTCATATTGTTTGCACACACAAACAAATGTGGCACATAACTTTACATTGTTATCCTCATGTGAGCACTGCCCTAAATGTAGTACATATATGCATTGCAACTATTCACAATGGATAGTCAAATTGGGACTGCCAGGGAAGACATTCTCACAAAACCATTGGTTGGAGACAGTCCAAGTGAAATCTGATTGTTTTACTGAATGCCGATCTCATCCTCAGTGTAATCTATACACATATCAAATTGTACGTTTCAGATGCGTTTTACATTTTCACTAAATATGTAATTGTCTAACTGATATATCACTGTATATATATAAATATATATACTTCCAGTTGAATTGATGATCACCGATTCATCTCAACATCAACATATTCTGATATCTTAACAATAATATTATTGTTATGATTAGTTGTAGAGAATAAGAAACGTTTGCAGTTCGACTGTATGGAGCGTTTCATTGAGATGTCGAGTGTCCAATTTGAACTATTATTATTATTATCATCATCATTATTATTTTTAGATGGAATGCTACATCCATCTACCATTTGATGTATGAATAGCAGATAGACGTTACATTTCAAACTTCTCCTTATTTACAGCTCAAACCGATATGGTGCAAACTGTATTCTGGACTGATTGAAAACGCTACGATAAAGATCAATTCAACCGAGTATATGACTGGAGGAAGAGTGTGTTGTTTTAAGTTGAAATCGTGTTTATGATGGTAATATTAATTATACTGATAATCATAATGAGGATTGTTTCGAATATCCAGTGTGATTAGGGTCAGTGTAACATGGTTTATATAATTGAGGGTAGTTGTGTTGTATTTTATTTCGGTGAACTGAAATGATAGAAATCGTTTGAGAATATGTAGTTGGCATCAAGAATGAAGTAAGTGTTTCCATACAAAGTTGATCAGTAGATCTTTGCCAATTGTTACCGATAAATGCACTGTATGTCCATTGTCCATAGAAATGTCAGTTAATCAGTAAGCAACAGTTGACAGACGTTACAGAAAAGTGTTAAGTGAAGTTCACTAGTGAGATAGGTTTTGTGTAAGAATGTGTGTGTGTGGTTGAAGTCCCAGTTAACATTCTCGGAACTAACAACATTTTTCATTGAATCACTAACCACAATGTTTAAACTTCTCTCATCGAAGCAACTCCTTCCACTATTATGTTTGCAAAGATGCTTCACATATCTCATGTTCCTCGAACCAGTAAACTGTAGACGATTACGCATGAATAAATAAGAATGTTTGTGGTAAGTAAACGGACAAGTTTACACTGTGAACTACGTACAATTCGTGGTAATCGCAATCACTCATCATAATGAAAGTTCTTATTAAGTAAACTGTTTGCTCAATATCTATCTGTTGAATGTTAGATATCAGTGAATATTTTATTGCAGTTTTATGTTTAC